TGCCACGTAGAGATGTAGCACTTCGCCGGCAAAAGGAGGTACGACACAATAAAAGTCGTATCCCGTGACTTTTGTCATCTCAGTATAGGTTACAGTATATCTTCGGTACATAGGAAAAATGATATGCAAAAAGTGCATTTTTTGCGGGAGGACAGGTTTAACCTGAGCGAAGTCGTTCATTTCTTGGCCAGTGTAAAACAAATTACCTCTACATGTGGGTTATCTGGAGAACAATTTTATGAAATTTGTTCTAGTAAAAACATTGTTTTCTAAAAATATTTTTTTCAGATAACTACAGAATGTTTGATGTGTTATTTTCCTTGTGTACGTATCGTGCTCCTGAAGATACACGTTTACTGCATCCTAAAGTGAATATTTTGATATTTTTAAGCTTTTGTCAAAGCTCCGACGAGAAATAATATTTAAAGACACTACTAGAAATACCTCCAATGGTCACTCGTTGAATGTATTAAAAAAGGTACTTTTCTGAATCCATACGTGACTTACACCAGTTCGGAAAGAATGGCTGCATATGACGAAGCAAAGTGAAGTGTCATATTAGTATTCAGTTACGGCCTAACGTAATAATTAAACTCAAAGAACACGATCGTGAGCTGGCGACAGCTTCAGTAAAATTGAATTATGTTGCAACCTCTGTCAACAATTCACTTTTTCTCAAGTTAACAATTACTTTACTTAACGATCATTCTTATCTGAACCTCTGTCATTAACTTCTTTTCTTAAACATGGAACTTTATCAAGGAAAGAAAATGAAGCACATACTGTAACATCTTTCAAAATCATTTGAGGTCGTTAATCATGACATTATACTTTCAAAATTACCTTCGTATGAAATTCGTGGCATTGCTCTAAATTGGTTATGTTCGTACCATTAACGATCTCAACGGGTATAAATTACGTACCGGAATGAACGGACATTATTTACTGACATTTCTGATTAATGGTTAATTGTACATGGAGTCCTTCAGGGTTCGATTTTAGGTCCTAACTTCTGCTATAAGTAAACAATATCCCCTCGGCGATACGAAACGAAAGAGCAGTTCTGTTTGCTGATGATAGAGTATTCTTTGCAATGAAGAGACAGAGAATATAACAATATGAGACGTTTCAAACTGGTTCTTCAATCATAAATTTACAAGAAACGAAGAGAGTTTACAGTACTTCATTTCGATTTCAGTGCAATTTTCCATTTCAAATAAAGAATCGTACACTGATTAAGAACGTTGAGATATTGACTGATGATATGGTAACAAAATTGTTGGGTCTCTTAATTCTGTCAAACCATAATGGGATGCCTTTTCAAATGAATTGAATACAAAATTAAGTTTATTATGCTACGCTTTTAGAATTCTTTCAAATTCAGTCAGCCTTCATACTCATCGTTGACTATATTTAGCGAATGTTCACTTTCGCTCGAGATATGGCGTAATGTTCTGGGGAAACACATCGTATGTCTCCCAGACTTTTAGAGTACAGAAAATATTTGTACGAATATTTTCTTAATCATAAACAACGTGTAATAAGCCTCTCGTTGAAAGTCAGGAGTTCTACCGTGGTGCTGCATCTTGATTTACGAATCAGTGATTTTTGTCAAAAATGGCCTACTCAAGGATGGGAACATACTTCCAGCGATTTGTTAATAATGTATTGGGTCAATGACCAATCGTTCAGATTTTTCGTCCAGTTTCCATGATCCTTTGAGCAAATGCTGTGATAGCATCTTGTTTTGATTCTGGACCTACATGTAACTTCGCTATTTGTGCACATTTTCTAGAGTTTAGTTAGGAATATAGTTATTCAAATTACACTAGGGGAACAAAATATTTTTTTTCGTATATCCAGCATAAAAAAGGTGATTTTAAAGGAAACGATAACGCTGATTTCGAAATTGATAAAAAGTTTCTATCACGACAGGTTCAAAAGATATGAACTTATTTATTATTTGAAATAAACAAAATCCTATACTAATATCCGGATTGTCACTCTGGTTAAATTGCTACAAAATTTTATGAGTATGGTTGTAAGGTACAAGTTAAAAATGGAATACGCATATTCGTGCTATAATATGCAGACATTAATTGGTTTATTGGTATTCTCCACAATATTCGTAGAGTGAATGACGATGATTTGAGTTTTTCATACATCCACAACCTAAGGTTCGTTGTACAGGTGGGCCAACACTGGTGAGCAGCCCATGGTTTATCCTGATCACAAACACGACAGACAGTGTATAAATAGGCAAGTTCTGTAATTTCATATATTGTACCCTTTGAAGTATGAGTGTAAATCTTCCACTAACGTAACAGAAGTTATCAGCATGATTCGCACACTTTTGATGCGATATGACGATTTGCATTTTATCGAACCGATACAACTGAACAGATCATGTGTTCACTTTATAAAACCCACAGAACTGTAATGTTTTTGAGGCACACGCAAGTCAGACACGAACTTCACGCGCACAGTGGGTACAGTTCGGCATGACACAGACTGACTCAGAATCTGCCACCCCAACAGTTGGATACTTGTATACTTGCGATAAGGTAAGGCGTTAAAAAACAAAAACAAAAACAAAAAAAACAGGACAAATATTTTATTTTTCAAAAGATTTTATGCGTATAACTCTACATATCATATAGGTGCAATTTAAATTTAAATGCTTTAATAGCAAAATAAGGTATGATATGGTATAAAGATAAGATATATTTAAAAACGTCGAAATAGTAAGATGTTTTCATTGTGATATTCGTAATCGACGTATACAATTGAGTACGTTGCGTACTCCACCTTCCCGGAGGTGAAAATCTTTATCCCTAGTGTTATTGTTCTCCAAGTTGTCGCTGTATTATGAAACTTCCATCGGGAAGGGCGTCCATCTTTAGGAATTATAGCATAAATCTATAGCTCATTTGCCTTTTCCACAAGTTTTCAGTACATGGGAGTGAATATTTCTTATCAGTTCTTGCCAAAAACTCTCGTTTCTATTTGTATTCATAGTTCAACCTAAAATATGAGTTGGGACTGAGACCTTAGAGATCTACATAGTTTTAACTGTTTTTTGACTTTAAATAAATAAACAATTTACAGCATCAGTAGGACGATTCGCATCAAATAAGAAAATTGAAGAACGAAATACAGTTTTGAAGACTGTGAAAAATGTGCCGTTCTACAAAAGTAGTCGCATATTATAACATTCAAAAAGAAATTGCTGCTTTTCGTCATTGGCCCCTAAATTCTTATGAAGACGAAATAACATTTTCTGAGCTGAATACTTTACTTGCAAATTACATACAGTAAATACGTCATAAAAGTTTGTACAATAAATTCATTTCAATCGCATTCAATTATGCCTTATTTTACGTGGCGACACGCAGGTCTTCCGCCTAACCACGGAAATTTCGTTACGCTCTTTCACCATCGTTCAGCGAAAGAAGTTATCACTCGGGTGACGAAATATAAGATTAGAATTTAACTGGGAAGTTTCTTTTAAACTTGATCTTTTACTTGCAGTAAATCTACATGGGACAGCCGGCTTTACTTCTCTGAAGGATGGCGTATGAAGCATTTTTTTGCCCTTAAAAATCGACTACTCCGATTTGAACCTACGAAGAGTCTTGTACTCTGACCACTGAAGCCGACTAATATTATAACTTGCTTGTAGCATGCCTGTTGCGGCAGATGTTTTCATGTCAAAAACTGATATTTGTACTTTCCAGGTTCATAATAATAATGCATTTTAAACACCTTTCAGTTGCCCGGCTTGGCCGTTTGGGGTATACAAATTTAGTTTCAATTATCTTGAATCTGTTGAATCATATCGAAACACGTTTCATCAATGCACTCGTAGGTATATTGAAACCATGAAAAACGATTTTTTCTAGAATTCTTCCTGAATGTCTTGGAGGGAATCTGCTAAGAGTTTTCACAATCAAATTGTGTCGCATGACCGTAGGTGACGTAACTCATTAAAAATGTGTTTTAGTTGCTTAAAGACACACACGAAACGTTTTAGAGAAATTTTGAAGACCTTTCTGGATGGATCTCCAAAACGAAGACGAGTTTCCCGTCTGGAGGCAGATGCGTCGCATGGCACCTTATTTGTGTTGATTGGAGGACCGGATTTGGTCTTATCATGACGTACGCATGCACTAACGCAGATTCTTCGTTAACTGCGCAAGGATATCTTGTATTAGCAATTAAATCAATTGTTTGTATTTCAAGATTTGTTTGTTGGTGTACAATAAAAGAAACACTTTAGTCTCTGCACATTTTTCGTTTTAATAGCATGTCTTTCTGTATGCTTTTAGCACATTTGCATGCATATTTTCATAATTTTTAGTGCATAAGTTAGTAAGTTTTCAATGTGAGAACAACATCGGTATCAATAAAACTGTTTTTAGGGGTGCCACAAACCGCACAAACACCCCAATTTTATCGTCGTATAATTTGGCTGAAGTGGTGCGCTCATTATTCGGAAACAATTTTATGATTATCAAAAGTTCACTTATTTAAATCGAACAGTGTGCCACATCAGTTCGAATATGGCCAGTTGTACGCTAAAACCATATAAATATACACATTTGAAATGGCCGAGCCCCGTAAATTTTATCCAAAATACGTTTGATTTAGATAAGATTGAAGCTTGAAATATTTACTTTAAGAAACTTGCTACGTATTATTTAACTATTTCACTACTAAAACTCCTCCTCCGGAGGAGGGGTATGTGATTTTGGACTTACCTTGTCCCAAAGGGATGGCCTTCTCCGCCACTTCGAGAATTCTCTCCCTTTAGGGACTTTTAAGCCCTCAAGGCGAGAGATACAATTTTCCACTTTTAAATTGTGGCCTAATTTCAGCCAGTCGTTGAACCAGTTTTTCCAGTCGTTGAACATTTTTGTAATATATGATAAAATTAAATATTTAAAATATTTTGTATGATGGTTAGGTATTAATTGTAATTTTGACTTTGTGTGTTTCAGGGCTTGACGTTTTTCCTATCTTTTGCAATACTGGCAGCAGTGCTGGGGATGCTACAGTTTGGTTATAATACTGGGGTCATAAACGCTCCCGAGGCGGTAGGTATTTTCATAGTGGCTGTATATTCCTCTTTTATTACAATAATATTGCTTTCTTCCCGTTAAATTTCACTTGCAAGTTTTCTTCCCTTGTATGTCCTTTTAATGAAGGTTTTTTTCATTACCCATTTGTACTTTACAGTTGGTAAGACGTAAATTAAGTGAAATTTGTGGCGAAGAAATAAATATTATTTTTATTTAGTTGGTTTTCTTTTATTTTATTTTCCTTACTTGTTTGGTGCTTTGTACGATACATACTTACATGTAGAGAATAGCGTGATGAAGCTGTAGGTGATTATCTCTAAACAATCTCTAGTTACCCGGCAAAAGCTCCCATGTCACTTTTTTGGATTTTTCAGGAGAGCAAATTTATTGTTTGTAAGTACACAAAATATCAGTAATTGTTGTAAACGCTAAATCCATTAAATAATGCACTAGATTGTGCATCTAATCATGGATTCTAATCATTTCAAATACAAGTAATAATTTCTTATTATTATCTTGAATATTATAAGTTAGTGCAGTACATATCATGTTTTAAAATGCCTATATTTTTGCCAATATGTAGCATGTCCAAACATTATTGTTCAAAAATACAACAAAGAACCATTTTAAGTTACAATGTGGTAATTTTTAACAAATATCTTTACTGTATATTTTCAAACTGTATTCACAAACACAAAATTAAATTCGGAACACCTATCACAGTGGTTTACAAAAAAGCGTTTTTATGTAGCAAGAAAAAAAACCGTTTCTGGAATATAATTTGCCTCTCAATCCAGATCTAATTTCAGAATTTCTGTATCGGTCTCATTTTTTATGTAATGTTTTGTAAATGCGTATGTCTCCCCATGTATAATATGTAGCAGGCAAAAGAACGCGCTCTAATAACAACAGATTAAAATGTGTGTATTAAAAAAACTACAACAGCGTAAGTATTAAGTGACGAGACATTCCGAAAAATATTTCCTTTCGGTATTTTTTCGATTCTTTGCTTCAGGAACGTCTCTTCGTAACATCCAGTAGTAGATGGACAACTTTGCGTCCCTCCAGTTGCCTTGCTAACGCTTTTCTATTTGAAGAATGTTCTGGCGGAACCACTCACAATGTTGTTACTAAAAGCGCGTCCATCCGATGCGTCTTTTTACTGAATTTGACGCACGTGACTAGCGAACGTACCGCATGCGTTTCGGGCATGCGCCCTTCTGTCAAAACCATGGACGCATGCAAAAGCGCAAGCTCTCCCACAGCTGACCCCTCTCGGGCGTCTTTGGCGTGCGCTTCCTCCAAAGAAGGTGTATTTCATTGCCACGTCATCCGGAATTCCGAGCCGTACGAGTTCTTTGAGTAGTCTTTGGTAATCTTGAGTTATTCTGTGCCCGTGTGTGTTTTATTGCGAATTTCATCAGATTATTCTTTTATTATTTATTTACGGTAATATCAATTTTCAATATATATTCATTAAACTATGTAGTGGAAAGTAGTAAAAATGAACATGTGATTATTTCCATTTCTAGTTCGATGTGTTGCAGTGACAGGAGAAGAATATTTAGTTCTCCCTAATTTTTATTTTATATTTGCAATTTCAGAAATTATTTCTAAAATGGTTTGTTTAGATACATGAAAAGTAAAGCTTAGGATGGAGAAAGGGTGATCAGTAGCGAGGTAACGCTGAGTAATTACAAGCCTTATTTCTGCTAAATTGCACTCCACATCACCGTATTTTGTCTCGAAATACGTCCTCTTAAAAGTTGCAATAAAAACTAGAAATCGTCTGGAAACCTCGTAAAACTTTTAAACAAATGACGGTCACTCCGCAAATCACGTATAATAGTGTGTTGTTTTTGCTTCAAGTATTCTCACGTCCCCATGCGCCTCTCTTTTTCTCTTTCTACTGATTATAAAATAAGTTGCCGAAATTGCCGCGCAAACAGCTGGATCAAGTGTACAGAATAGAACTGAAGCACTGCAGTGTTGCACCGTGTGGGCAGGGACCGCACGTGCGCTGTGTTGAACGTTCGTCTTTCAACTTTGCGCGTGCAGTTTTATTCTCGTTACGCACGGAAAGAGCGCATCGCGTGGACGCTAACAGAACCGAAGTAATCCGGGAAGAAGTCCAAGTTATCATTCAAAAAATGTAGTTATCCCATATGGTTGTATGATCTCAATAGTTCGTGTACAATGTCGCGATAGTGCTCTGCCTTATGGTTGCCTAAAAGGATTTTACAGACACTTGTTGAAGAAAAAACGGTATGTCTGAGTTTCACACCACTCAACAATTTAACGAAATGTTCATCAGCAATTTATTTGCTAATTTGTTATCATTCAAATATTCCTTCTTTAATTTTTGCTTCACTGATCCTTGGGAACTTCACTCGCATGTACATGATTACATGTGATGTTTTGTCCATGACTTTGTTAAAGTTTTTGATAAGATCCAATTTAATTATTGCAGTGGAGGCAGGTGCGCATTTTTGGCATCAACAATACGGGTGTTTCATTTCTCTGTCCAGGCAATAGTTCGATTCGAGCAAGCCATTTTTTCCTTTCCTTTCTACTGTTTGAAAAGAGGTCGTTGCAGCAGCAGCGGAGACTGCCGTGATTAATTTATGATACATCTTAGGGGTTAGAGAGGCTCTATTCAACACAATTGTAATAATTCGGCGCGGCACGGAGGAACGAAATATGTGCCGCGTAGATACGGATCAGCTAGCGCGCACGTGGAGTTTCAACTCTCACAATGCAATGGCAAAAGAGTTATACGTCGCCTGTTGCGAGGGTGAGTTGGGACCAGCAGTGGAAAGCTGTCTGCGTGAGGGCGTGGGCGAGTATTTATGACCCCCTACACTTCCAGTGAAGTCCTTCGCCTCGCACGAAGGGATCGGCTGCGACGTGACTAATTCAAACAGTCGGAGACGGAGGCGGAGTTGGGCAAATTAGCACCGGCGAGCGCCCGCAATGAGCTTTCGTTTGCACAACTTTCTGCAGGATTTAAAACTCTTTTATGGGACAACGTTTCTTTGTCCTTCAGTGTATTTTAGATCAGAATCTTTATTTTTCTTCATAAGTCTCTTCTTTAGAATTTTGGTGGCATAATGCTCATCAGTTCTCCCTTCTAAAGTAAATCTATAATTTGGGACATTGATAGTTGGAAATTCATGTACAACGGCGTTTTCTTCTCTCGGAATTGGGTTAATGAGAATTGCATTACAGTATTTACGTCATCTGTGAGCATAATATTATTTGGAGATGTAGATCTCGCGTTTGAAAAAAGCGTTTGAATTGTTTGCTCTATTATAATGAGTTAATTGGCACTCCTTTCTCCGTACAAACGCAAAAATTAATCCTGAATTTGAACCAGTGAGGCAAAGGTTATAATCTTCTTAACTGTATTCAAATCCCGTACTTTCCGGTTCTGATACACACCGTCTGCCACCTGGAATATATATGATGATTAAAGATTATTTTCTTTTACCTCCATTTATTTGAGATATCTCATTCAATAAATACTACTCAAGAATCATCTATGTTGTCCGTTGGGTGGTTCGTTGTTAGCGTGCTCTCTTTCTATGGCACAAACCCGGGTTCGATTCCCGGCCGAGACAAATTGAAACTCTGCGCTTTCCCTCCAAATCTATTGCTTTGTAACGACGATAAATCCCACCCTAAGGTTATGAAGACCAGTATATACGGTGAAGGGATGTCTGCGTGCTAACCTCACAAATCCCTTATCACCGCTGGTAGGCCAAGGACCGTATCGGGCTGTTGAGCCTCGAACACAATGACTTATTCAAAAACTAAACCCTCCCGCTTACAATTCAAGACAAATAATATATGAAAATCATATTACCAGTAATACAAAAATAAACATACGTGATCAAATGAGAACATTAAAGCTTTTGTCACATGGAAATGTTGAAATATTCATGTGTATAATATGGCATGTTCTTGTAAAGAGAAGGGATATCTGTCATATTTGCCATACAATAAAATTAAACCTTTAGACACGACATCAATTGTCACTGACAATATCCAAAGAAATACTAGAGACAGGCCTAATTTTTTTGCCAGTTGAAGAAAGGTAACAAAGTAGCCTATGAATGAATCCAAAACCCAATTTTGCAAGTTATGGTCATGCCATCTTTCGCCAAATAAATACACATATGATAAAGATATTCCATTACATTGCTGCAATTCCACCGAATTTATGTGATTATTTTTTGTTTTTTGACACCCCAGTTCTTGATAATGTAGTTTATATTAGATGTATCTCAATTCCGTATTAATGATTCGTGAGGTTTTGAGTCCATGTGTTTTCAGGTGTATTATTTTTCATCGATCTTCGTTACATCCAAAAACTTTCAATCTCAGTGGCAAGTGTAGTAAGTGACAGTGGCAAGACTCCTTTTTGGAGGTATCAGCAATATTCTGAATACAATTTTTATCCTCCAGGGTTTGCTTGGTCTGAGGAGATGCAGGAAGAAATGATGATAATAATGAATGATGAATTGAAGAAAATATATACATACACAACACCCATGCCTGAGGCGGGACTCGATAGTAATTCTAAACAAATTTGATTATAACCAGAAAATGTATGACTTCGTCAATAGCGACGACATCCTACCAGTGAACAAAGATCCCATCTTTGCAAAATAAAAAGATGCTAAAAGAACTTGGAGATCCCAAAGTTCTTTTTCCCAACCCAAACAGAATTATCACTTCCAAGCCACATCCACCTCGACCGCACGGTCTTCTGTTTCCATATGACATGTGTCATAAACCAACACCGACACACACAGACTGGCACTGAAACTTAACCATGATTTGAACCACCTACATGAAGTTATTTTTATTATAGGCAATCATAATTTATTTACAGTTCTCAAAGAATAAAGTATTTTTACCTTAAATCGTGGAATTTATTATAAACATTATATTCTAGTCACACGGAACTACTGTTTCACACTTCCTGCTACTAGCTCATTTTTGCGGTTCGT